GTGTTGGAGTCCCAGCCCGTTAGACACTGCGGTTGCCATCTGTCCCCAGAGTGTCTCCCAGGGCTCTGCACCCCAGGAGGGGCAGGGAGGGCCCCAGGTTAACCCCGTTTGTTCCCAGCAGCCAAGACAGGGTAAACTTCTCCTTGAAAGCACATAGTAAGAGCCACAGCCTGGGTCTGAAGGCCCTCACCCAGCCCTGTGTGTGCTGGTGGCCCACCGAGGTCCAGGCCCTGTCCCTGCCTCCGAGAGAACACAACGGGCCCAGTGTTCCTTTCACAGTCCCTGCTCTGGGTCTAATCCCGGCTTTCTGCTGCCAGCCCGGGCTGCGGGCGTGCGGCCCAGCCCCTGTGAGCCGAGGGCTCTCACCTGTGCAATGAACCTGCCCGGCTCCTCGGGAAGGAGCCCCTGACCCAGCAGGTGCTCTGGAAACCGCAGCTGCTCCATCCCTCTCCGCTCCCAGATCTGGTCCCCTTTCTAGACCATGGGACAGATCTCAGTCCCCCCTGGGAGCCCTGCAGAGGGAGGCCACCAAGAGTGAGCCCTTGGCCTCTCTGCCTGGTGAGTCACTGACGTGACAGCAGGCCGTCCCGCTGAGCTTGGCGGAGGCTTGGCCTCGAGTGGACAAAGTGCCCTCCTGCTCCCTGGGGCATGTGTTTATAGGTCACCAGGCCCACAGTGGTAACTTCATCAGGGGCCTGATGGGGATCATTTTCTATCCCCAACCAAGGATAGAGGGAGACAACACTCTTCTCCAGGACCTTCCACATACCTCAGCTCCTTTCTCCTTCCTCTTCCATCTTGGGGCTCAGTCTCTTTGAAGAGCTATCCTAGAGCCCATCCTGCTCTAGTCTCACCTCCTCTAGGCAGCCTGCCTAGACTGGCCTCTGCTGTATTAGGCCACCAGCAGCCTTAATGAGCAAACTCCGGCCTGCAATGATTTGCTGCCACCATTTGTTGAACACCTACTGTGTGTTGGGTACTGTCCTAGGCCTTTTCATCCATTATCTCTTGTTTAACCCTCACTAAACCCCTGCGAAGTAGTATCATTATGCCCATTCTTACAGATGGGGAAACTGAGGCTCAGAGAAGTTAAATCACTTCTCCAAAGTCACCAGCTAATAAGCAGCAGAGATGGGGTTCAAACCTGATCCAGTCTGAAATTCCAAAGCTTGCGCTCAAACCACTAGCCAGTGCTGATCTCTTCTTCAGGCTGTTTTTCCATGTATGTGTGTGTGTGTCCATGTCCGTGTCCTGCCTCCCCCACTAGACCACTCCCTGGGGCAAGGTTGTGTCTGTCTTCTCAGATAGTGAGCTCCCCAAGGTCAAGGCCCCATCTACTCCTTCCTCAGTCTCCCCCAGTACCCAGTGTCAGACTGCTCACTGGTTCTGCAGGGGTGAAGGGGAGACAGTGCGAGGTGGCTGGGAAGACATCATAGTCGGTGGGCCCTGTGTTCTGTGGGGCGCTCTGCCCAGCTCCTTCAGATCTGGAGCCTTCTCCCAGACATAAGAGATGTCTGACCTTCCAAAAGAAAGACTTCAGTCCCCCATTTCTGCCCTCACAAACCCCAGGGCCCAGGGCACTGAGACCCCCACAGTGAGGCCGGGAGGCTGATAGGTTGGTTGGAGGACAAACCTGGGTGGGTGGAGAGGTTCTCAGGGCCAGGGGCATGGGGCGGGCCCTGAGAGACTCTGGAGCTGGAGAGAGGGGGCTAGATATTAATTCCCCTGCTCTGTGCACATTGTCACCTGCGGTGGCACCAAAGCCCCAAGCAAATACCAACCCTGAGAGTGACTGCAGAGCGCAGCAATTCTGAGCACTGGCCATGCACTCCGTGCCTCTCTCTTGGGGGTCACATCTGAAAGCAAAGGGCAGGGGCTCCCTGCTCAGGCGCTGAGCTAACACAGACCTGAATCCAAATCCTGCCTCTCCGTGTCCTGGCTGTGTGACCTCAGGTAAGACCCTTCCTGTCTCTGAGCCCCACGTCTCCCCTCCCAGGGTTGAATGAGGATGAACTACATCAGAAGAGTAAAAAAGGCTCAGTCTGGCTTAGGATAAGCCCCCGAAAAGTGGTAACTTAAAAGTAGATAATGAATGGGGTGCCTGGTCGGTTAAGTGTCTGACTCTTGATGTCGGCTCAGGTCATGATCTCAGGGTTGTGAAATCAAGCCCTGCATCAGGCTCTGCGCTCAGCACAGAGTCTGCTTAGCCCTCTCCTTCCCCCCTCTGCCCTTCCCCCTGACCTCTCTCTCTAATAAATAGAATCTTAAAAAAAAAAAAAAAAGTAGACAACAACACAAAATAGCTCCTGGAAACAGCATGTGTCACCTTACTCTGGTCCCCGTCGCTTTCCCCAAGTCCTCAGCACCTCGAGTGCCTGCCATGAGGCATCCATGAGACAGGATGGGGCTAGAAGCCTCCGTGTCCTCCCCTTTCCCAGCCAAAAGGGGCTGGCTTAGCTGTCTGCACAGAAGGGTAATAACAACAAATTTAAAATTAAAGAAATAGCTAAACGTGCCAGGTACTGGTCTGAATGCTCTACGTGAATTAAGTCCTGTAATCCCTGCCCAGCAATCCTATGACATCGATACTGGTATTGGTCCCATTTTAGAGATGAGAACACCAAGATACCCATTCAATATTAAGTAACTTGCTGAGGTCACAGAGCTAGGGAATGGCAGATGGGAACCTAGGCTGGCCGGCTCCCGAGTCTGCACCCCTAACCTCTCAGGCCAGGCACAGAGAACTGACGCCCCATGCTGGTGTGGAGAGGTTTTCCAAGTGTGGCCTGTACCTGGGGCCTGGCGTCTGGCTAGGGCGGCCCCAGTCGGGTGCAGACTGGGTGCAGACTAGGGGCTCAGCATTAGCAGGAGGCTCCCAATCCCTGGCCTGGCCTCAGGGCTGCGCACCAGGCACAGGGAAGCGCTTGGAGAAAGGGGTGGTTATCAGCACCGGGCCCAGAAGCTCCTGGAAGCCTGCAGCTGGAAAGGAGCAGGTCAGGTGCCCGGCTGTGGGCTGGGGGTGCAGTGCAGAGGCTTGGGGCACAGGCCTGGCTTTTCACAGGCCACTCAGCTCCCCCCACCGCCCCCGCTCCGTTTCCCCATTTGTAAAACGAGGACTGGGACAGCACCTACCCCAACTGAGCTGGTTGTGCCTAACACATTCCAACCAGTACCTGGCAAGCCGGAAGCAGTATTGGTGACAATTGCTCTGACAGTATTGGTGACAGTCAGAGGGGGGTGTGCCCTCCACGTAGTGGTCCAGTTGCTGAGATCATGGTTGTCCTCTGCTCCAGTGTCCTGTCCCTTCTTTACCTTTATCCAGCTAGCCTGCTGCATGTTGGGACCATAAGTGCCACCCCCTCAGGAAGGAGACAAGGTTCGAATACACAACTAGATCTGGAGGTGGCACTTGGGAGCCCAAGCCACAGAAGGAAGGACAAAGGAAGTCCCCCTTCTTAGTCTGTGTGACCTCAAGCAGGCACAGCAGAGGGTGCTGACCCTGGTGGGGGGCAGGGGTGGTCCAAAGACCCAAGCACCAGCCTGACCTTGGCAGGCATCTCTTCCTCCCTGGCCTCGTACTGTGTTCAGTGGGTCTGTGGCTCACAGGTTGGGCCCCCGGTACGGGATGACCAAGTGACAGGGAAGGGACACAGTCACCAAGGAAATACCCAATCCCAGATGCTCAACACCCAGAGCCTGTCCAGAGCCTTTGGGTTTCTGGAGACACGCTAAGAGCCTGTCAGTCCTAAAGAACCCTAAATACTCTTCCCTCTTAAAACTGTCTTCCCCCCTGGAAAGCTGTGGGTCTCACAAAGACCGGGGCTGTGCTAGACTCGTCCCCTCTAGATGTCCAGCACATACACAGCACCTGGCACACAGTAGGTATCATGCTAATGTCAGCCTGATGAATGAATAAGTGAACGAACCTCACACAACCTAACTCCCACCCATGATTCCAGCCCGGACACCCTCCTGAGACATCCTAAGCCACTTACCCAAATGTCCCACCACAGGGACTGGTGGGCCCCTGAGAGGCCAGAGGGGGCGGGGGGGGGGGGAGCATCGTGCTCCTTGCTCAGTGTCCCTCAGCACAAGCCCCCCCACCCAGGGCCTGTGCAGCCCCCACCCCAGGCCTGTTCATCCCTCTACAACTAAGTTTTGGGGGTGATGGGTGGGGTGGCAGCCCCCAAGGTTGGGGGTCAGTGGGTTTGCCAAGCTGGGGTCAAGGCCTCAGTCACCTCTACCCCAGTCCCCCTGCTCTGTGTAGGACTCCACTGCCATTCCCACGGGACAGCCAATTCCAACTCCTGGGGTGCCACCTTGGGCAGTACAAGGGGAGAGCAGAGGGAGCCAGGGCAAGGCACCGTTGAAAGCCCCCAGGCAGAAAGAAAGGCCCAGGAGTTCTTAGACACAATCGCTTTCTCCGTCCCTTCCTGTCCCCTGACCCAAGATGGGGGTGGGGTGGGAGTTAGGGATGAGAGTGGGGGAAGGGATACCTTCCATAAAACCTGTTCCTCTCCATTAACCCACTGCTGTCGATGGGGTTCAGGGACTCTGAAGACAGCGGACGGGGTAAGGGGACAGAAGTGGGGGCGTTGAGCAAGTCAGGCCTGTGTCTTGGGGGAGTATGGGAAGGACAGTCGGCTGCTTCTCCCGGGGCCGCCACCTGCCCTCCAGAGAAGCCAGCAGCGGCCAGAAGCCTTCCTCCCCTCCAGAGCACGCGACAGGGGGCGTGTGGCTGCTGGGCTGGAAGCGACCCCGCTTCCTGCCCCCTGCCTGGGTGTGGCTCCAAGCCCGGCTGGAGATGCGGCGACCTCCCTCCGCTCTCTCTCTGCGCAGCCACCCCCGTCCCCTGTCCTCCCGGGGGCACCGTGTCCCCTGGGTCTCGGTGGGAGCGGGGGTGGGGCGTGCTGCCGGTCGGGGAAGGCCGGGTCGCCCCCCAGCCGCAACCTCCAGTCTCCTCCGGGGCCCGACCCCAACCCGGCCGGCGGCCCCCTCACCTCGCGACACGCAGGAGCCCATCACGGGGCCGCGGGGCCGGGCCGCTGCGCCTCGGGTGCGTCGGGCCGCCGGGCGCTCATGTCTCTGCGGGCGCGGGGCTCACGCGCGGCGCCGGCGCGGCAGGCGGGCGGTCGGGCCGGGACAGGGGCTGGGGCTTGGGCTGCGGCTCCCTCCGCTCGGCTCCCCGCCGCTCCCGCCGGGTCGTCCCCGCCGCCGCCGCCGCCGCCGCCTCCCGCGCCGCGCCCGCTCCTACCAGCCACGGGCAGCACGGCGGGCGGGGGGACCCGGGGGAGCTCTTGCCCGGAGCCCCGGAGCCCCGGAGCCCGAGCCGCGCGCAGGCCGCCCCGCCCCTTCCCCGGCCCCCGGCGCCGCCCGCCGTGCGCACCTGTGGCCGCAGCCCCGGCTGGGGGGCGGGGTCAGTGGGCGGGGGGTCGGGAGGGGTGAGGTCGGAGGGGTGAGGGGTCGGAGGGGCGGGGGACGGGGCCCTGGGGCAAGTTCCTCAACTTGGGCTGGGAGGAGGGACTGAAGGGGTAGGGCGGGGAGCAGGGGAACGGGGGAGAGGGGAGGGATCCTCTGGCCCTCACTTCTCGCCACCCGGTGACCCTGGCTGAAGGTCGAGGAAGGGGGCGGAGGGGAGAGGCGCGGAGATTCCAGAATTTGGGGCACAGAGTACACAACCTTAATTTAACAACCAGAGCTCAAAAACACTAATTCCATTACGCCCATTTTGCAGGGGAAGAAACTGAGGCTCACAGAAGCCAGATGCCTTGCCTGATGTCCCTTGGCTGTGAGGGACAGTGATTTCTCACCGCCAGCTCCTGCTTTGGGGCCCGCTGGCTTAGGGTGGAGGTCCAGAGGGGCACGAGTGTACCAGAGGCCTCACTGGCAGACAAGAGTCAAGCACCCCTTAGCAGGGTCCCCCGCTTCTCTGGGCTTACCCAGGGTGGAGAGAACTGAGGCCCAGCGCCTTTTCTCAGCCGGGGCCTCCTGTCTCCTGCGGTAACAGCGGCTCCATCAGGGACTCACCTGCAAGTCCACTCACACGTGTCCCCACAGACTCACACACACTCGCAGACGCTAGTGCACACACAGCCATCTGCATTCACACTGACACACAGTCACACACATGTGCACACAGCCAGCTCCTGAGCAAACCTTCCCGTGCACAAACACATCTCTCTCGGTGTGCCTTCCCCTACCCGTGTGCCTTTTACAGGCCAGGAAGCCAGGTTCGCTGGCTCCCCTCAAACACCCGCTGATCGCCTGGGTGGGTTTCCAGGGATGAATGAGGTTTGGGGCAGGAGCGTGAAGTGGAGCTGGAGGCCTCCAGCAGGACAGAGCCAAGCCTGGTGACAGTGCCAGGGGGTGGGGGCACGTGCTGACCTGGTTCTCTTCCCCCAGACCTGGGGCCCTCTCTGGAGTGGGGGTCAGGTGGGGAGTGGCTCTAGGCAGACCAGGTGTGAGTGCCAGCTCTGTTCACACAAAGCTGTGTGACCTTGGGCAAGTTGCCTCACCTCTCTGAGCCTCAGTGTTTTCATCTGTTAACTGGGGGTAAAAGGAAATCTCACCTCACAGGATTGCTGTACACATTAATGAGAAATATATGCAAAAATGACCAGCACATAGTAGGTACCTAACTCAGGGTTGAAAATAAATAACAGTGACAGTAAACACAGATATGTTGCCTTGTTACATCACCAAGCTTCCCTACACCCACGGGAAGCCTGAAGAGTCTCCATTCGATGACTGTGTGTGAAGCACCTACTATGTGCCCGTATGAGCAAGAGAGATGGGGCAGCCCCAGTGTCCTTTCTCTTCTTCCTGTGGTGGGGAGACTGGACTTGGCTCTGAGGGATGGCTCTGACTCACCATGACGCAGGACGCTTGTCACAGCTGCTGATGTTCCCAGCTGGCAGCCTAGCAGCTCTGGGGGCAGGGGGGGACTGGGAGGGGGACCCCAGCAGACAACAGGGCAGTTGACAGAGGAGAGGACGCCTGGGGAGCCCACTATGTCCCCTTCAGCCTAAGACAGGGACAGGTGGGTGAGGCTGGGCAGTGGCCCCACCCTCAGTCCCCCACCATCCCAGAGAAGGGACCAGGGTGGGGTGAGGTGGCTCTGGCTCTCCCTGCCTCCGGCATTCATGCTGAGCAGCTCCACACTGACTCAATCTTCTCCTTGTACTGACTGGTGCTCAGAGAGGGGCAAGGGCTTGCCCAAGGTCACACAGCAAATGGCTAAAGGAGTCAAATCCAGGTGTCCTGCCTGTCAGCCCAACTTGGCACTAACTAAAGACTGGGCCTTGCAGGGGTGGGCAGCTCCCCCTTGCATGCCCACATTCACCTTCCCAGTCCTTGGAATTCTGCTGAAGCTGATGATTCCCAGATTCCCAGATAGCTCTAAGATGTATGGTTGTCCTTCCGGGAGGGCAGGCTGTCCTTTCCCAGATCAGCCCACAGTCCATCTGTCCTGTGACCTTCCATGAACCTCCCCCAGAGCCCTCTATGGGGGAAGAGAAGGAGCCCCTTGTGGATGAGGGGACGAGAAGAGTACCCCAGGGAGTGCCCTGAATCCCATTCTCCCATCCTGACTTTGGGGATCCAGCCAGAGCCCCCGCTCCTGTGGCCTGCCCCCACTCTTCCTAGTCAGCAGCAAACATTCACAGCCGGCCCCGAGTGCCTGGTCCTGGGCTGGGCACTGGAGCATGGAGAGCAGATGCTGCGGGGCCTGATGGGAGAAAGATCAATCAAGCGGAGCCTTACGGGGATGAATCAGACTCAGTCCAAGCCCAGATGCTCCTGGGGGGGTGGGCAGGCATGGCATGGGGGGAGCCATGCGCATAAATAGTTTGGGTCAGTGAGGATCGTGGTATGTCCCCGTGCCAGCTGAGCATTGTAAGAGCAGAGTCCCTTCTTTCAAGGGTCGTGGGGATGGCTGCAAGGTGTTGGTGACCCTGCAATGGGAATGTGAGGGTTGAGTGGGACATTGGCAGGGAGACAAGGAGGAGCGCTCTGTGTGCTCAAGGCCATGGAGGCAGGGATGCTGGAGGGTGTACAGGGGACCGGAGCATCTGAGGTCTGGGGGCCAGCAGGAGAGGACAAGGCTTCCGGCTGGGGTTGCCCAGCTCCAGGCCTCGAGCAGCATCTCAGCTCTGGTTTCTCGGCAAAGGCAGAGCTGGATGAGCAGAAAGAACAGAACTGGAAGCCCAGCAGACCTGGGTTTGACTCCGGTGCCCAGAACGGTACGTGGCAAATGCTCAGTCAGGGTTTGTTGACTGAATCCCAGAAAGTGAGACCTGTCCAAGGTCACGTATCTAGAAGCTGATTATGGCCACGACTGACTGACACAACCTTTCCTTCATCCATCCGATGTTCATTGAGCCCCTGCTGTGTGCCCAGCTCTGTGCGGCTCTGGTTAACCATAGATGAGACACACCGGGTTCCTGTTCCCTGGGGGAGCGCAGCGAGCTGGCGAGAGGCGGGCATTGATCCAGTGACGACCCGGGTGAGTTGAGAATCACAACCCCCAAAAAGCACTAGGAGAGAGCTGTTGACAGTGTGCAAAAGAAGCCCCTTATCCTGCCTAGGGCCTGGAGGGAGTGTCCAATAGAAGTGACAGTGACTAAATCCACAGCTAAAAAGGGGGAGCGGGACTTGGTCCGGCGGCCAGACGGGCACGGGCAGCGGTCTGAACAGTCTGGAGACAGGACGAGGGACAGACTCCCAGGAGGGAGAGAGGGCCTTAGTGGCTGGAGCCCAGAGCAGGAGGAGGGGGCAGGAGCCGCTTCCCATGGGGCCTCACACGGGATCTGGTCTTTAGCCAAAGAGAAATGGGAAGCCCCATCCTCTGCTTCCTTCCTTCCAGTCACCCTCAGGGGCGGCTGAGGCCTGCAGGTGTCAGGTCCCAGGTTGAGGTGTCAGATCCCAGTCCAGTTCCCTGTTTCTCTAGAGGCCCAGCCCTGCCTGGGGGTCCTGAGCCCCAGGGCTAGGCTCTTCCGGGGAAGTCTGAGAAAGAAGGCCGTGGGCTGACCTCAGACTGTGCCCATTCTCAGCTCCATGCTCAGGACTGAGGGTTTCTAGCTGGAGTGGGGTGATAGGCCAGAGTCCTGCCCACCATGTCCCCTGCCCCCAGGAAACAAGACGAAGTATGTGGGATTGGGAGAGAGAGAAAGGAGCATGAGCCCCCTGTCTGATAGGGGAGGCAAAGTCCTCAGGGAGCTCTAAGTTGACAGAGGAGACACAGCCACTGTGCCAGACGCTGGGGACATCGGGAAGAGACCAGCCTCTGCCCTGGAGAAGCTTCCAGCCTGGTGAGTAAACAGGTACACTAAATTCATCACTTAACTGCCTGTCCCAGGCTTGGTGCACAGCGGCTGCTTCATGACGGGATCCCTTTCTCAGGGTTGGGAGGGTGATACTCTGCCTCCTGGGTGTTGGCTCTCTGCAGGCAGGTAGGAGGCCCCCCTGCTGGGACCAAGGCAGCGGGGTAAGACCCCTGCGGTGCCTTTCCTGAGCTGTGAGTGTCATACAGGAGGTGGCCACGAGGGGGCAGCCTGAGACAGCATCATTCTTTACTTTCCTCTTCCTTTCCCCCCTCCCTTGGCCGACTGACCCAGAAAGTACTACGCTGGCAACTCGGACCCAGCCACATCGTATGACCTGCACAAAGGTGCCCAGCTGAGGGGAAAGGCACTAAAATCCTGCTGGTGCTCTGCTCAGCAAGCCCTGGGCTGTGTCTGCCCCCATGTGGGGTGCCTTTTTCTTAACCCAAAGGTGTCATCTCCTCGCTAAGCTGAATTCTACAAGGCAGTGTCCACACAGATCTGTACAAAGTCTCCCTATAGGCCAGCAACACTGCTGAGCTCAGACGTCACCTGGTCCTAGCCCCCCACTGTGCAGATGCAGCGACTGAGACCCAGGAAAGGAACCCGGGCTCTTTAGGAGCAGAGCGGGGACTGGACCCCCATAGCCAGTGGGGCTCCCTGCTCCACCTGGAAGGTTCAGGTGCTAGGTGCTACCTCTGGAGACCAGACTGTGCCTAAGAAAGAAGGCCACAGGGGCACCTGGGTGGCTCAGTGGGGTAAGCCTCTGTCTTTGGCTCAGGTCATGATC